TTTTTCCCAATAAAAAAAATAAAAAAAAAAAGACCTAGCTGGGGAAAAGGTGAAGGTTTCAAGAAGTAGGCTCCATTTATGACAATCACCTCGATAATCACAGTAAGAAGCCCTACTACTTGTGGCCTACTACCAACACCAGGCGCATGCCACAGAGAATAACGGGGACAGGAGGAGGTGGTTTGAGTGGCAAAGAACACAATAGCTGCCTTAACCAGTATGTCTATCAGTATGTCTATGCTGACCTTTCTCCACAAGAGCTGTCTACTACCACATCACATGACACATACCCTACCTTTCTAAGAGTGTAGACTCAGAAGGGGCAGGACAGCATCACAAAAAAGACATGAGAGACTAGCAAATTCTGTTACAAAACTTTCCAAGTGATCGTAGACAAATTCCTCAACCTCTTCAAAGGATCAGTTTATCTTTCATACAACAAGGATGTCACCTACCTCATCCATTAGTTGAATTATTTAATCATAAAACTTTGTCTTAAAATGGGTGCTGAACAAATGCTAAACTTTTGTTTCTCTCTTTGGCCCCTTCTTTGTCAACCAAGTACTTTGGAACATGCTTGATGGAGGTTTATATATCAAGCACTGCAGGATAGGGCGGCCTGTGACAGTCTTTATGAGGAGGAATAGAATAGAAATACCTCAGCAATGCCAGAGCAGAATGAACACACAGAGGGGATTTACTGCCACCTCTTAGTCTCCAGATAATACTGGAGTTCTAAATGGATTAGTGAGTGTGAACAAAACAAAAAGAAATCATGTACTAGTTGTTGTTACGGGCGGTCAAGCTGACTACAACTCAAAGTAACTCAATGAAGAGAGGATCATTAATCCAACCATGAGTGAGCAAAATGAAACAGAAATACAATTAAAGAATGTTACAGTATGCTTTTACTCACCTTCACAAATCATTGGTTCAATTGTAAACACATGGCCTGCCTTCATTACTCCAACAGCTTTATTTTCTTAAGAAATAGAAAAAGAAAAACAAATGTCAAAATATTGCAGGAATCAACAGGTAATTAGAAAGCACAAACCCATCAGTGATTCTTAATCACCACTTCCTCTCTCAATTCCTCTTAAAAACTGTATTATTTAACAAGTAGGTATGTGTTGTTGTTGAGTGCCGTCAAGTCGCTTGCGACTCATAGCGACCCTATGTACAACAGCCCTAAACTCTGCTGTGTCTCGTGCCAATCGTACTGTCTCTGACACTCCCATCCCGATAACCCCAGTCACCGTATCAATCCACCTCATAGAGGGCCTTCCCCTCCTGCGCTGTCCCTCCAACCTCCCCAGCATGATGTCCTTCTCCAAGGACCGGTCTCTTCTTACAACATGTCCAAAGTATGTTAGACAGAGCCTTAGAATCTTGCCTCCAAAGTGCCACCTGGTTTAACCCTTTCCTGGACGAATCTGTTTGTTTTCCTAGCAGTCCATGGTACTCTCAATACTCTTCTCCAGCACCGCAGCTCAAAGGCATCAATTCTCCTTCTGTCCTCCTTGGTTACTGTCTAACTCTCTGATGCATAACAAGTGATTGCAAAGACCATGGCCTGTATCAGATGCACCTTGGTCTCCAGAGAGACACCACTGCTCTTCAGTACTTTAGAGAGGTCCCTAACAGCAGACTTTCCCATGGCAATGCACCTTTTAATTTTAGGGCTACTGGTGCCAAGAGTGTTGACTGTGGAGCCAAGCAAACTAAAGCTGTGAACAATCTCAATCTCTTCACCATCCATCCTGATGCTACCAATTGGTCCAGTGGAGAGAATCTTTGTCTTCTTGACATTGAGCCCCAATTCATATTGGAGGCTGCAGTCCTTGACCCTCTGCAGCAGGTGCTTCAGGTCCTCTTCAGTTTCAACAAGCAGGGTTGTATCATCGGTATAACGCAGACTGTTGATAAATCGCCCACAAATCTTGACCCCATATTTCTCCTTATAGAGCCCAGCCTCCCGGATGATCTGTTCTGCATACAGGTTGAAAAGGTATGGAGATAGGATGCATCCCTGGCGTACGCCCTTCCCAATTTTGAAATATGCAGTGTTCCCTTGCTCTGTTCTGACGACTGCCTCCTGGCCCAAGTATAGGTTTCGCATTAGAACTATCAAGTGTTCTGGGATTCCCATTCTTCTCAAGAGTCAGCCAAAGTTTCTTATGATCCACACAGTCAAATGCCTTTGCATAGTCAATGAAACAGATAGACATTCCTCTGGTATTCCCTGCTTTCAGCTAAGATCCACCTAACATCAGCTACAATATCCCTAGTACCACGACCCCTTCTAAACCCAGCCTGGACCTCTAGCAGTTCTCTGGTGATGTGCTGTTCCAGTCGTCCTTGGATAATCTTCCGTATTGTCCCAGGCACATTCATTCACTATGTGTTCTCTAATACAAAGATGCTCCACAATTAGAAATCTAATCACTAAGCCAAACAATGTTCATTCTTCATTTAGGCATAAAAGCTTACAGAATGACATGTCTGGAATTATACCAAAAGCCTCCTACTTCTTTGGGTATGTCGACATGTAGAGCAAAAGTCTGTAAACATGACCTCATGATTTTCGTATCGTTTTGAGACTACTACTCTTTTCATCTTAAAAGAGAAACAAGGTTTCTGCTCATTAACTTATTTCTTTAAATGCCTGAAGAAATTATTCCTTTCTATTTGGAAACAGAAACACTTATTTCTCTTTCTGAGTTTTTGTGCTCAAGTCCACTAATAGTTATTTTTCAGGACCATTATGACAAATATTACTGTTAATTAAAGTATCCAGATTGGTCACTCTCAAAACAAAGCCAGAAAAGTTGAGAAAACCAGGCTTTCTTACATACTTTCAAATAAAAATGTAAAATCAGTTTAAATTTCAAATTAAAGAAAAAAAAAAAAACCCCAAACACTCAAAACCCAAAGAAGCCAAACTGACAGACATCAGCGAAGTAACTAACTGCATTTGCTTTGTCTGACCACCAGATGGCAAATGCATTGGTCCTTTCAGATGCCTTGGTAAAGGACTTTTGTAATGAAAGACAATGTGTCCATTTGGGTCACACTACTGAATGCCATTTCTCCCAGAAATGCTGTCATCTTATCCAGATCTTTAAAGAGGTCTTCTGTAAAGATCTGTCTAAAGCGAATGACTGATTTTTTTCTGCTCCAATGAACTTTCACTTTTTAACTTTTAACTTCTACAAATTATCATTTTTATTGTGATCTGAGTGAAAGCTTACAAAGCATATTGGCTTTTCAATCATTCATATGTATTTTGTGCCATCATTTTGACTGCTGTTTTTAGATATCAATTGTGGATTCAAGTAAAATTAAATTCTTGACAATTTCAAACATTTTTCCATTTATCATGATGTTGTTTGTAGGTCAAGTTGAAAAATTTTTAAAAAATTTTTTTTTGTATCAAATTGTAACCCACACTAAAGGTAAGTGTAATCCACACTGTGGTCTTTGATCTATTTTGATAATAAGAGCTTCATGTCTTCTTCATTGCAACAAGCAAGGTTGTATTGCTTCTCAGTCTACGTACAGGTTCTGAATGAGCAATATCAAATGTCCGGGAAGTCTCATACTTCACAGTATTATATATTCCTTTAACGACCAAAACAGAAATATCAGAAGTATCAGTATAGTGGGAAAGGATCTTAGAGGTCTCCAGAATATGGCAGCTGAAGGCCACACATAGCTATTGAGCACCTAAAATATGACTAGTCAGAATGGAGCTACCCTGACATAAACAGTATGGTATAGTTCTCAATAATCTTTACATTGTTGAGATATGATATTTGAGATGTAATGAATTAAATAAGTATATTATTAAATTTAACTTTTTCCTTTTTTAAATATGGCTACTAGAAAATTTAAAATTATATATGTCTCATATTTCTCTATCGGATAGTGGAGAATGGGACTACCCTGACATATAAAGTATGATATAGTTCTTTCCTACTCATCTCCACTATTCTGGTTGTGGTTTCACAATATACCTCACTTAACACACACATATTAGCTTAGTGACTCCCCTTATAGACACCACACAGGGCTTCAATTTTTTTATTTGTTCCACTGTCTAGCTCTAAAAGTACTTTTTATTCTTCCTCACAAAATATTTTAGACAACTATATAAACCAAATAAAGACTTGAAAAATTGATAGGCATTTTGTATGTAGGGTATTATTATCATTATTATTTTTTAAAAAAAAATTACTAATAGCCGCCAGTGAACAATCACCTACCAAAGACTACATTTAACATAATAACAATGCCAAAAACAACATGAATCAAAATAAGCTGACCTAGAGAAGAGGGTTGATGCTGCTGTTGTTGTTTTTGCTATGAGGTGCTGTCGAGTCGAGTCCAGTACGATTCATAGCGACCCTATGAACAAAAGATCTGAACGCTGTTCTGTCCTGCACCATCCTCACACTTCCGGGCACACAGAGCTCACTGCAGCAGTCACCATATCAACCTTCTTGATTGAAGATTTTCCTCTCCTTCGCCGACCCTCCACCCTTCCCAGTGTCATGTCCTTCTCCAAGGAATAGCACCTCCTAGCAACATGACCCAAGTATGTGAGGTGAAGACTCTTATTTCTTGCCTCCAAATAACACTCCAGCTGCACCCTCCAAGACATAATCTGTTTGTTCTCTTGGCCATCCATCTAACACTGTGGCATTAACTAGCTTGCATGTGCAACTCATCCTACACGCCACTGCCAAATCAGTTTTCCAAACATCAATATTATGCCCTTCCCCAAAAATGTTTCAGCAAATCCCTACAAGTAAAATTCCCTTAGTCTAGAATTCAGCAGACCATTCCCAAAATACTGCACTCAGCCAAGTTTATCTTGTTTCTCTGCAGTATCACCTGCAAGCATTTATTCATAATTTTATTTAGAATGATTTTTCTCATTTCCTCCACACACTAAATTCAACAATTCTTCAGGCTATCTCCCCATCATAGAACCTAGGGTCAAACTGTTCCACTGCCTACAAAGCAGCACAAAAGAGGAGGAAAGAATGTTTCTATAAAGACATACAGAATCCCAAGTACAAACTCTAGCTTTGGCATTTATTTAGTAGTTTTATGCCATTGATTATTATTTTATTTCTCTTAATACAGAATTAACTTTTTAACATAGGGTTAAGGAATCACTTAAGTTGTGCTGATCAGAGAAATGCTAGATCGCACAATCAGTCAGAACTGATGTTGCTGGGTGCTGTCACATTGATTCCAATTCATAGCCACCCTATGTAAAAACGAATATAATACTGACTGGTCCTGTACCATTTTCATAATCATCTCTACATTTGATCCCACTGTTATAGTCACTGTGCTTACTGATCTTACTGAAGGTCTCCCACTTTTGCATTGACTCTCTATTTTATCAACCATGATGTCCATCTCCAGAGACTAGATCATTGTGATAACATGTCTCACATATGTGAGATGAAGTGTCAATTCTCATTGCTTCCTAAGGTAAATGTATTTTATTTCATATCTATAAATTTTGTCTTGAGATTTTAATGAAAGATTATAGAGAACTTGGATTTTCACTCATTCATTGTTGCACATTTTCTTCTCTGCCCACCTCCCCTCAGTTCACTTTACTAAAAGTTAAAGAAATCTCAGAATATTCTTTGTTTTCCCTCATTATAATCACCAATGCATTCTCTTATTCATATACTTTTTTTTATAATATTAATTACAATCAAGAGTCTAACTCACTGTCAGGAGTAGGAACCCGCTCATAGCTGACCCTCCACCAAATTTTGTGTAAATGTACCTGTTTCTACGATAATACTTCCATTCTGTTGATGGACACCAGGATTGTTTTCATCTCTGCTATTATATATATTGCTGCAATAACCTTGGGTATGCATACATTTCCTCGGATAGCAGCTCTTAGTACTACTTTGGAGTATATATTAATAGAAGGATTACCAGGATCAAATGGTATTTCTATTCCTAACTTTCTAAGGAGTTATAAGCTCTCCATACCCTTGCCAGTATTTGTTCCTTTAGATTTTATTTTACTACACTTTGCTACTGTTGTTGGGGTGACATGATACTTTTTATTCCCCCCCAAATCAGGCATTATGCTGGGGAAGGTCAGAAAAAGCAAGGAAGATTCACAACATTATGGACTGACACCATGACTTTAAAAACTAACTCAAGCCTATCAGAAATCCTGAGGATGGCCCAGGACAGCGAAGGGTTCAAGTCTGTTTCACAGGGTCCCTATGAATCAACATCAACTCAGTGTCACCTAACAACAATAGTTAAGTATTAAGAACATTCTAGGGGCACGTTTTACAAGATAGATTTGTTCATTCCTCTGGCAATCTATACTCAATAGTACAGACTGGCAGTCTGTATTCAATATTCTCTGGTATCATAATTCAAATGCATCATTTCTTTCATCTTGCTTACTCATTGCCCAGCTTTCAAACACCTATGAAGTGACTAAAAATGCCATGTCTTGAGTAAGGTTCACTTTAGTACTTAAAGAGATATCCTTGCTCTTTAGAGAGGTCCTCTATGCAACAGATTTGTTCAGAGCAATGTATCATTTGATTTCCTGAGTGGTATTTCCATGTATGCGGACTATGGATCTAAGTACAATTAAATCCTTGTTTTTAGTCATCCTAAGAATTCAAAGATGCGACTCTGGTGGCCAAGTGATAAGGAACTGCACTGTCAATTCAAAGGCATGAAGTTCAAATCCACTAGCTGCTCTGCAGGAGAAAAATGGGCTATCTCCTCCCATGCAAGTCATAGCCTACGAAAACTCACTGGAAGGCCAGCTATGAGTAGGTTCAAATTCAACAGCATGTAATAACAAAGAGTTAATACTGATTAGGTACTTTACACATACTGTTTCCATTATACTAAGTGCTTTCATGTATTCTCTCACTTACTCCTTATAATTCCAAGGTAGATAACACTCTGAACCATTTTACAGACAAGAAAATAAATGTACAAGATATACCAAAGGGTATAGCTACTGATGATATACTCAGTGATAAAATTATTTCCTAAGTCACTTATGCAAATAGCATTTATTCCTGGCACTAAAAAACAAACTTGTTCCTGCATAAGGCTTATCTCTCCAGAGGAAAAGTTTCTGGAACACAGTAATTGTCTTTTGTTCCCTTTGTATCTTATGAGACAGTACTCAGCCTAAGGGTATTACTTTGTCTATTCCCTCCTATTTAGACTAATGATTAATAAGCATAACATCTGACAAAAAAATAAAAACCTGAATTTCACTAAGCTGCACTTTCTAATCTAACCAATTTCACCTAAGTAAGCAGAACAGTAATGATTAGGCCTGTAAGCAGAGACTGCTGGCGGTTCATAAAAATTAGTTTACTTTTCTTCCAGAACACACAGCTAGATTATATTTTCTAGCCTCCTCTGGAGTCAGATGTAACCATGTGGTTGAAACTCTGCCAATGGAAAGTAAACATAAACAACTTAGGTCAATTCCAGGTGGTTCATTAAAATGTCCCAAACCCACCATCTATTCTGTAGTAGGACAGCCTCCAAGAGGATAAACATAACACAGGCTGAAGTTGTAAATGAAGACAGCAGAAGTAAGTTACAAGATAACTCTTCCAGCTCAAATTATAACCCCCCCACACTGCTAAGTGAGCAGAATATGAATTATATTGTGTTAGAGCTAATATGTATTTTCACAGTTTACATGTTACAGTTCATAGCAATAAGCTAACAAATTCAAAACAGTAAGTCTTGTAAATACTTCTTGACTAAATGGTGAGCAAATATCCAATGTCTTTGCTCAATACTTTGGACAGTACTTACTGGCATAGTGAGGGACATTAGGGGCTGTATGAAAAAGTTTGTGGATTCCATGTCCACAGTAGCTTCGAACAACTGAAAATCCATTTGCTTGGGCATGCTTCTGAATAATATTTCCCAATTCTCTGTATCGAACACCAGGTTTCACTGAAAGGAAAAGAGAAGAGTTATGATGAAGAATAATGACTAACACTAAGTGATTATCTATGTGTTAGGAAACTTTGAAAATGCTTCACGTGCCTATATATCTTAACAAAGAGATCAGGTGGTCAAGGCACAGGAAGGCTACACAGTCAATAAAGAGCAAAGCTCAGGCTGAAACTAAGAGCAACTGGAACTTCTCCTTTGATGTCAGAAGAGGAAGCGTGCAAAGTATTAAGAGGTTACAACAGAAGCATCGTTTGCTTTCTCTGTTGTTGGGGGACCTCAAGGCAACTCTGATTCAAAGCCACGTGATGAACAACAGATCTGAACATTGCTCTACCCCACGCCATCCTTCATATCTATGATATGCTCGAGTCACTGTTGCCGTCACTCTCCCTCTCCTTCCCTATTCTTCAATTTTAATCTTATGGTGAGGGAAAAAGATCAAAGAGCAAAATTATTTTTTTTTAAAAAGAATATTATCCATAACTTGCCCTGTTCACAGTAAGTATAGGCAACTTTAGAAAAAGTCCTGCTTCATAATCTCCGGCTTTCTTGATCCTGGTAAAAAACATTCTCATAATAGTCCATTCTATCATGGGAACCAGGTGGTAGTGTTTAGAAAGATTTATTTCACTATAAATTGCGCCTTATTTACATTTTCATGACTTTTTGTTAACTGCTGTTTTCCAAATTATTTTCAATGTTGTGGCTTTCTCAGAACTGACATCCCAGAAGCTAGGTGCTGTCAAACTCCTGGGGAGCAAAACCAGGATCCCCTAAAGGGTCCTCACGGTCTCCAAGAGGGACCCCAAGAGGATCCCCTACAGAAAATTCTATTTTGATCTCTACTCAAAGATATTATTCACGATAATAACAATATAATGTCTAACAGAACTTGATATGGAACATACTCATAAAACTCACACATACTAGTTGAAAAGACAGCAAAATATAAAATATAAAAAATTTTATTTAATTCCAATTAAAGGTATGTGTGTGAGAGAGAGACAGACAGACAGACGGAGAGGGAGAAAATAAACAAGGGAGAAAAAATCACTAAGTGTTAATAATATTTTCTATAAAAAAAAATAATAAAAGAGGGAAGAAAGAAAAAGGGATCATTTTTTTCTCCCATAATTTTCATTCTTATTCTAATTTTTACAATAAGAATGTAATACTTATGTAGTTGAAATAATTAAAAAAAACACACACACAACAAAAAAATGTACTTATAGGATCTATCTATATGCCCTTTCCCACTTACTAATCTTGGGGGGGAAAAAAGGGAAGATAAATTACTAGAGTCAAAGGATATAAAGGATATTAAGGGATTACTGGTTGATCCTTATCAAGGGATCTTCAAATCATCCTTAAACCTATTACAGACAAAACCTTAGGTTAACTCAGGTAGCGTGGAGGCAAAGCTGGTAGTACAGGGAATGTACACAGCAATGGCCAACCATCTATCTGCTACAAACAGCAAAGCAGGGTGGTTTGGTGAGTCGTAGCATGGAGGCTGACCTGCATCGATGGCTTGCATCAGGCACTCATATGTGGTCTGGACTAGCTTCCGAGCCCCCTCATCCACCTCTCCAACAAAAAATGTCTCATTCAGGTCCCCATGATAACCATTGCGATAAAGAGTGATGTCCACTGCAAAAGAGTAGGCAAATATAAAAATCACAGTTTTTATTTAAAAATAAAATTTCCATATTTACAAGAAGATAGCAGCAAGCAGTTTAATAAAAAAGATAAAATTAATTTCTCAAATGAGACACCAGTAAGAGTAGCTACTACTCAATAATAACTCTTTAAACTACCAAATTCACGCTACAGAAAAGTACAACCAACTAAACCAAATAATACAACAAAACTCATTCTGTAGTGTGGTAATATTCACTCAGCACAAGCCAAATAGGGGTTTTAGAAATTTATTGCACAGAGAAAAAAAAGGTGTCTGATCAATTCAATATCAATAACCAGTTAGTGATACTAAATTAAAATCTTTATTATATCTTAGTATTCATTACAAAAACTTATTTCTTTAAAAAGTTTCTTCCTCCTGCTAAGGGAAAAGTAAACAGAATTAGTTATTTTAGCATTTACTTATTTGGAAACACTCCCTTTTCTCTTTTTCTTCATGTTTAAGATTACAGATAACTAGAAAACTATCATACCCTCTTAAGTTATCTAGAAAGCATAACAGTTAAGTACTTTTTACATACAGTCCACAAAGCATAGTTTGAGCTTCCTTTCCACAAACACTTTCTTGGAATTTTACACATATTCAGTACATTCTAAAGATAAGAGGGTTTATATGAAAATTCAAGTTGGGCAGACCTCTCAAAAACAATGAAACTTAATAAGCAGATTTCCTAACTAAAGCACTAGCAACCCTAATAAAAAACTGTGTTACAGTTTAATCTCCCCTATCATCCCAGTCAATCCATTCTTCATAGCCTTTTACACTTGAACCTGATTTAAATCTTTAAAGATATATTAGTATTGAACTATATTACGTATACTAAAACAAGTTATATATAATATATTGAATAATACTTATTATATACAATATATGAATATATAAAGTATAATTTAATATATAAAATATATATATATATAAACTATAATTTAACTCTGCCCATGAGTACATCAAGGTTGAGAAGAAAGTGGTGGAAACTGCAAACAGGTAAAAACCAACAACAACTTTACAAGAGAAATACTGCTTCCTCCATTGTCACTGCTCCTCTCCACATCCCACTGGCTGCTGTGAACTGTTAAGTAGCCCCACAAAGGAACTTGCATCCCTAACCACAACAGCTCCTATACAAAGAGACAAGATCACAAGCTTCTGGTCTAAAATCGATAAGAAGATCTTTCCCAGGGTCTGTTGACAGCAGCAGCTGCAAGCTGATAGTGAGTGGTTAGAGGAGGTCCATGCAGTAGAGTCAGCTCTGCTTGGCAACACTCTATCTGCCTTTCTGCACTTTGCACAGCACAGTCCAATGTACTCCCTTGTGGAGAGAATGATTAATATATGGCATCCAGCATGACTGGCAGTGCCCACTGACTATAATCGTATGCTTTAATACATCTGACAGAGTCAGAAAGCTGAAAACTTTGGAACCTGGAAGTTTCAAATCCTAATTACACTGCTGCTGTTATGTGCTATCGAGTCAACTACAACTCATAGTGACCCTATGCACAATAGCTCTGAGCCCTACTCTATTCTGAGCCAATCTCACTGGCCCCTCCTCAGTTTCAACAATTAAGGTTGAAGTAAGGTTGTGTCATCTGCATAATTTTTGCTGTTGCAGCTTTCTCCAATCCTGATGCCACATTCCTCCTCCTAAGTTCAGCCTCTCAAATTATCTGTTCTACATACAGACTGAAAAGGTCTGGAGACAGGACACACCCCTGATGTACTCCTTTCCTGATTTTGAACCATGCACTGTTTCCTTGCTCTGTTCTGATGAATGCCTCCTGGTTCAAGTACAGATTTCACATTGAGTACAATCAGGTGTTTCTGAATCTCATTCTCCTCAAGGTTAGTCACAATTTGTTGTGAGTCATGCTAGATGAAAAAATACATAGCAAGACATGCAAAGAACAGGGAAGCAAAGGCCCATACAAATGAACATGACAACAAAGTGAAAACATACACAGGGATGTTGTTGTTGTTATGTTCCATCAAGTCAACAACAACAACAATAGTGACCCTATGAACAAAAGCTCTGAACCATATCCTATACTGAGCTAATCTGACTGTCTCCAACATATCTGCTCCTATGATCACAGTCACTGTGTTAATCCATTTCATCCAGTGTCTTCCTCTCCTACACTGACCCTCCACCCTTAAAACATAAAATCCTTCTCCAAGGACAGGTCCTTCCTGGCAACATGCCCAAAGAATGTGAGCAGGAGCTTCAAAATCATGCAACTTGGAGCAACTTGATTTCACCCTTTCTAGGATAAACCTTGTTTATTCTCTTGGTAGTCTACGGAATGTTCAACACTCTTCTCCATACCTCAAAGCACTGCAACTCAAATGCACTGATCCTTCTTTTGTCATCTTTAGTCATTTGTCCAGCTCTCTGAAGTCTAGCAAATAATTGCAAAGACTATGACCTGGATTAGGTACACCTTAATCTCTAGACTGACACCGCTGCTCTTCAGCACTCTGGAGAGATCCCTGACAGCAGAATTTCCCAGTAGAATTTGTCTAAATTTCCTCAATGCTGGTGTCAAGTGTGTTGACTGTGGAGCCTAGTCAGCTGAAATTGTTAGCAATCTCAATCTCTTCTCCATATATAATGGTGCTGCCAAATGGCCCAGCGGTAACAATCTTTGTCTTCTTGATATTGAGCTTCAATTCATATTAAGACTCAAGTCCTTGACCTTCAGCAGAAAATGCTTCAGGCCTTCCTCCTTTTAAGCACGCAAGGTTGTATCATCTGCATAATGCAGGTTGTTCTTAAGTCTTCCTCCCATTCTGATGCCAAAATCCTCCTCATAAAGTTCAGCTTCCAGAATGATCTCTTCCACAGACTGAAAAGATATGGTGATAAAATGCATTCCTGATGTATATTTTTCCCAATTTGAATCCTGTGGTGTTTCCTTGCTCTCTGAGGACTACTTCCTAGTCCAAGTATAGGTTTCACATGAGCATAATTAAGTGTTTAGGAACTCCCATTCTTCTCAATGTTAGTCACAATTTGTTGTAATCCACACAAATGCCTTTGCATAGTAAATTAAAAACACATAGACATTGTTCTATTAATTAGACTCTGCTCTAAGCCAAGATCCATCTGACATTGGCTATGATATCCCTAATGCCACAGGGATGACCACAGAATATAATAGCAATAAGAAAGGAGATCCAACATAATGTGGAAATTATCAAATAATATCATTAATATCAATCCCACGCATGCAAAAGTTATTAAAAATCATCCAAAAACTGTTGGAATGGTACACTGACAGAGAAATGCCAGAGGTACAAGCTGGGTTTAGAAGAAGCCATGGCATCAGGACATTATTGCTGATGTCAGATGAATCTTGGCTGAAAGCAGAGAGCACATGCCAATTTGTGTTTCACTGACCATGTAAAGGTATTTGACTCTGTGGATCATAACCAACTATGAGTAAGCTTGGGAAGACTGGGAATTCTAGAACACTTACTTCTGCTTATATGAAGTCTATACCTGTCATCATGCAGCTGTTGTGCAAATAAGAGCAGGGAATACTGCATGGTTTAAAATCAGGTTAGATGTGTGTCAGGGTTGTATCCCTTCTCCATTAAGTGTTTAATCTGTATGAAGAGTAATTTACCAGAAAAGCTGAATGTTTTGAAGAAGGTTGTGGCATCAAAACTTGAGGAAGACTCATCCAACAACCTGAATTACACAGATGACACAACCTTGCTTGCTAGAGTGAGAAGGATTTAAAACACTTTGCTGCAGAGGATTAAGGCCTATAGCCTTCAATACAGATTACATGTCGCTATCAAGGGGGGGAAAATCCTACTACGGGTCAATAGGCAACATCACACCAGATGGAGAAAAGATTGAAATTGTCAATGATTTCATCTTGCTTGGATCTGCAGTCAACACCCTCAATACCAAAAGTCAGGAGATCAGGAGACATAAAGCATCGGAAAAGTTTGCTGTCAAGAATCTTTCCAAAGTCCTGAAGAACAATGATGTCAGTCTAAAAACTAAGGTGTGCCTGACTCAAGTCACAGTATTTCCAATCACCTGCTATGCATCTGAGAGAGCTGGACAATGACTAAGGATGACAGAAGAATAGATGCACTTGAGTTGTGGGTATGGAGAAGAATGCTGAATATCCCATGGCCTGCCAAAAGAATAAATAAATATGTGATGGAGAAAATGCAAATAGAACATTCCCTGGAGGCAGAGTTGGTGAAGTTTCATCTCACATAGTTTAGACATGTTGTTAGGAGAGGCTATTCCTTGGAAAAGAATATGATGCTTGAAAAGGTGAATGATCAGTGAAGGAGAGAGAGACCCTCAATGAGACAGACTGATGCAGTGTCTGCAGCCACGGACTCAATTCTGCTGGAGATGGCAGGACAGGACAGAGTTCATATGTATGTGTCATGGGTTCACTGAGCCTTACTCGACTCAACAGCACTTAACAAGAAGAAAAAAGTTAGACAGCATATCAGGGAAACAATGTAAGAACACAATAAAGATCTAAAAGAGATTTTGTGTGCTCGCTTCAGCAGCACATATACTAAAATTGGAACGATACAGATAAGATTAGCATGGCCCCTGCGCAAGAATGACATGCAAATTCGTGAAGCGTTCCATATTTTTAATGGAAATCCAAATTCTCTGTAAATGTTCATTAAAATTATAAAAAAAAAAGAGATTTTGCAACTGAAAGTAGTAGTAAACTAAATGGGGGGTGGAGGTGGAACCGGACCCAGAAGGACTTATCAACAAATTTAATCAAAGAATCCATGGATGAGAGGATAAAATTAGTTAAAACCTTAGTAAGTGAAAAGCAACAAGAAACGAAGCTGTGCACAGTTTAATGGAACTAAGGGGAAACAACAAGATGCCTATTAAGTACCTCATAAAAACTGGAGATGAGAGAGAAAATAGCAGAAAGAATGTATGAAGAAATAATGACAGAAAAACATCCTCAATCTAACAAAAGGATATGAATCTACAAATTCTAGAAGCTCAAAGAACTACAAGCAGGACAAATCCACATACAACAAGACACAGGATCTCAAAAAGTATAAAAAGAGACTACTGGAAGGAGTCAAAGAGAAGCAAACAGTAAAGGATTCCCAGTAAGATTAAATGCAGACTTCTGCTCATGAAAGGAGTTCTGCTGGCATAGTCAGTAGAGCGTTGTACTGTCAACCCAAAGTTAGCTCCACTGTTTCAATTAACCAGTGGCTCCACAGGACAGATAGACAATCTCTTCCTGTGTGATTTAGAAAACCCACTGGGGGGTCAGCTGTTCCGATCTGATAGCAGTGAGTTTTGAGTAAGTCTCCTTAGAAACACTGGATGGAGACCAGAAGGCAACAGAAAGATATATTTAAAGTGCTAAAAGAAAAAACTTTTTATCAAGAATTTTACATCCACTCAAAAAGAAACAAATACTGCATAAGCATATTATTATAACAACAGGATGGAGACAAGGAAAGAAAAAGAGAGCAAGAAAAGAATGGGATAGATAATGGACAGGAATGAGTGAAAGGAAGGACATTCTGAAAGGGATGAATGACTAGAAACCATGAATTAATAGCCTAACAAGAGGATCTAAGGGGAGGAGGGAGGAAATGAATGTGCATGAATCAATGAATAATAATAATAAAGACAGTTTCTTAAAAAAAAAAAAAAAGACTATTGCATCCAACAAAATGATCAAGAAAAAGGGTGAAAGAATAGTCTTAAGATGGCTGCTGGCCAGCTGGTTCCTGAGAAGATGTGGAATAGATGCTATCTCCTGACCTAAATGAAACTGATGTTGAGGTGACTTCTGAAGATGAATCCACCTAAAGAAACTACACTTCACTTACAGTAAGCTAAAAATCAGATGACTCTCAGTATTCTGTTACTGGTATAAGAAATCAAAATGTACACACAGAAGAAATGATCGTTATTGTTCCCATCCAGTGTGGTACAACTCATAGTGACCCTATAAAACAACAGATCAGCACTCTACCCTCTCCTACAGCATCCTAATGATCACCAGCACATTTGAGCTCACTGCCACAGACTCTGTTTGGGAGAACATTGTTCTAAGTGGAACAACACTGGTCTGTCAGTTTGCTGTACTGCAATAACATGGGGTTGCTGTGATATCGAAAGTTGTGCCACTGTGTGTCAAATGCCATAATGGTTACCCATGGTAGAAATGGTTTGGTAGAGCTCCCAGATTAAGACGGACTTGGAAGCAGGGCTGGCATCCACTTCTTAAATACCAAGCCTTTGAAAACCCTATGAAGACTTGGGAAATTATGACAGTTATAAAACAGGGTTCAGATCTTTTGTTCATAGGCTTGCTATGAGTTGTACTCGACTCCACGGCACTTAACCACCACCACTGCCACAGATTCTGTATGAGTCTATCTTACTGAGAGTCTCTCTCTCCATTTGATGATCCTCCATCTTTCCAAGTATGATGTCCTTTTCCAACACATAGTCCCCCCCTAACATGTTCAAAATATGTGAGACAAAGCTTCACCACCCTTGCCTCCAAGGAGCTCTCTGGTAGCACTTTTTCTAAGTTACATCTGCTTGTTCTTTTGGCAGTTCATGAGATATTTAGCATTTTTCTCCAACACCACAACTCAAATCCACCAATTATTCTCCTGTCATCCTTATTTACTGTACAGCTCTCAGGTGCATATCAAATGACTGGAAAGACTGGCCTAAATCAGACACACCTTAGTCTTTAGACTGACATCTCTGCTCTTCAGGAATCTGCAAAGATCCCTGACAGAAGACTTTCCCAATGCTATACATATCTCAACCTCCTCACTACTGTTACCACAAGCATTGACTATGAACCCAAGCAAGATGAAAATGTTGATGATTTCAATCTTTTCTCTATCATGTTACCTATTGGTCCAGCAGTTAAGGATTTTTGTTTTCTTGAGATATAATCTATACTGAAGGTAATATATTAATTCCTCCTCCATTTCAGCAAGCAAGGTTGTGCTTATTTGTAAAACACAGGTCACTGATGAGCCTTTCTCCAATACTGAGCCACATTCTTCTTCATAAAATCCAGCATCTCTAATGATTTTCTCCACATACAGACTGAATAGGAATCTAGAAGACAGTCCCGATCCTTTGCTGATTTTATAACAATGCAACGTTCTCTTGTGCAGTTCAGAGGATTGCCCTTATTTATTTATGTCGCCCTGTCAAGGAGCTTTGTTCACAGGGAGTTTCATTGCTGATCCAAATCCAAGGGCCACTCTGGTGGTTTAAAAATGACAAGCAATGTACTGTAGGTACAATTTATCGTCTTGGAAACCCATTAAAGAATAAGCTATGAGTCAATATCAATTCAAAGCCAATAAGTGAGTGATATAATGTCAGTTTTACCTTTTTGTCGACGGGACTGAGTGAACTTGTACTCTCTTGTCTGTACGTTTAACTGTACTTCTTCTGGAATTTGGTTTTTTAAAACTACGATTTATATGTAATGGATTGGTCCTAAGTACTAAAGGATTGTCACCTGATACTGTCTTTTTTTACTGATGATTATGTTTACCTAATTGTCATAAAAGTAATTATTGCTGCTTTAATAGGAGGCGGGAGAGTTGCTATTTCACCCTCAAGGCAAACGCGATTTTTATGTACCTTCAGATAAAATATTTAAATTAAAAAATATTGAGAATGGGAAGGGAAGGAATAAAGGTAAAATAAAAGATTCTCCAGGATAGACTACTTGTTATGTCACAGAGCAAATGTTGTAAATTTAAAAAGATTAAAATCATAAAACTTTTTTCTCTGAACATAATGTAGTGAAGGCATTGGGGGGGAATCCTCTGCAAAACACACAAATATGGTAATTAAACAACACACTATTAAACTATCAATGGGTCAAAGAAGAAATCAAAAGATCAATCACAAATTCTCTATATTTAAAAGAAAATTCAAGCACAGAGAGAAACCAACATTAAAAAATGCCTTCATGAAGAAAGAAGTTTCAATTCAATGGGCTACACCTTCAACTCCAGTAACTAGTAAAATATATACAACTTGAGTATTTAACCCTGTATTATGTGGACAGGACTAAAACAAGGCAGAAACTCAAAAGAGTAAGATCCTTATAGAGTAATGAATTTGTTAATTTAAGAATGTAAAAACCATTTTCCTGTACATATTCTCAACCACTGGAAATTATTTTGTCCATTTAGGAGAGTCCACAGGTTCTTCCTCTATACTTGATAGTTTCCTATGATAGCTTAACTCAATGCATTCTCTGTACAACTATTTTCTGAACTTTTTACACTAAATGAAGACATTAATTGTACAATTTAGCTTTCCTTTCTCCCTTAGAGACTTCATATATTACTAAGGTCTTCTCTTTAACTGCCAGAATATATATCTCTTTAAAATCATTAAATTTAAATTAGAGGGGGAAAATAGACTTGACTCAATGTCACTTCACATACTTTCCCCCACACCTTTCATCCATTTATTAATCACATATGAGATAAGGTGATTTTAAAAAATGCCTACCGTAATTTTATCCACTTATTAATAACATATGAGATAAGGTGATTTTAAAAAATGCCTACTGTAAAACAGAACATGGCAAAGGTATCTTTAAAGCAACATACACAAAAATATTTTCTAAAGTTTCTGCACAATTTTGAATGACATAAAAGTTCAAAGATGAAAATACAGAGAAATACAACAAGCAAATAAGTAAACATACATCAATGTATCAGGCTTTCAAAAATATTGCTATTTCTTTGCTTATAACAAAAGATAACACTTATATATTCTTACCATTAACAATATCACCTTCCTGCAAGGGCCGTCTGTCTGGAATTCCATGACAAATAACTTCATTCACTGAGGTACAACAAGACTTAGGAAAATTATAATAATTCAGAGGAGAAGGATAACAATTTCTTGCAATGCATGCCTATGGTCAAGCAAAATACAGAAATAATTTAGAGTATGCAAAAGCAAATATTCGTTTTTAAATAATTTTATACTGTCATGAATAAGATTTTTATCTTTAAAAATCCGGAAAAAGTTTTAGACAGCTGCTTCCATAAAGAACTTTAAAAATATTTTATTTTAGAATTGACTGTGAATATTATCATAAACAGTACACAATAAAATTTGTGCAATGTATGCAAACCATTTTACTGTTAACTACAAAGGAAAAGCTCTGCGGGAGAATGATGGGCAATCCCCTCCCATGATGTGATTAACTGCCTCCAAAAACCCACTGGAGGGTCAGCCATGGGTTAGTTCTGACTTGACAGTACTAAACTAGTCTTATTTTACCTGGGTTTTTTTTAAATAGTGCTAATCATAGCATAAGGAGCCTGATGATGAAGTGGTTAAAGTGGTCAGCTGTTAACCGAAAGACTGGCAATGTGAACCCAGCAGTGGCTCCATGAGATAAAGAGATGACAATCTGCTTTTATAAAGATTACAGTTTTGGTAAAGCCCACTAAGTAAAACGACTTTGTCCTACAGGGTAGCCATGAGCCAATCAATTCAATGACACATTAAAGAATACATATTTCCTTTTCAGTTCTGCCAGTCTTCAAAAGCTAATAGGATTTTTTTATAGTTGCATATAATACTCTAGCTTTATTGGTGATTTCACCATTATCATGTTTAAATTAATTTAAAGTTTCATTATTTAAAAAATTGTGCAATAACTTTATGTGACTTTGCTCTCTCTTACTATTCAACTTCTCAAGTAATAGTATAGTAGTTAGGGTACACAGAATGTAATAACCTTGACTAAAAATGCCAAGAACGTAACTTACAAGTTATATAACCTTGAGTTAATTAGCTTTTTCAATTTCCTTATCTATAAAATGGGGATAAAGAATAATAGTCCCAGAAGCCCAACAGCTGTAAAGTTGATTCTGACTCAATGAGTTTGAAAGAGTTGATATTATAGTTAACTTTTTTCTCCAAATTTGGCTTCATATATTATTTTCTTATTTCTGAATATTTTATGTTCAAAAAGAATGGTGTGATTTAATAATTAGTAAAAATCTAAAATAAAATGCTTAAGAAATTTAATTCTTAGAAGGTATTTAAACCTTCACAGTTAATTATCATAGACACTTAAAGAGAATGATGACTTGAATGGATTTCATATTTGAAACAAAGTAAATGTCTGCTTTCAGAATAGTCAAGAGCAAGCAGCTAACAATCCAAAGGCAAGAGGACCAGAATCCACCAGCTGCTCTGCAGGATAAAGATGGGCCATCACTTCCCATGTGATTTATAGCCTTTGAAAACCTGCTAGCTATTTATGAGTTGGTTCTGCCTTCACAGCAGTTTACTAGCTTACACCTAGTTACTTTAGACTTTCAGAATTTAAGTCTAGTTTATTTTTTTAGAATTCTAAACTATCTAATAATATGAACAAATTTTTCAAAGGAAGAAAGTAAAGTTTCCTTACTAAGTGAACAGCATGATCTATTTCTTCAGTAGTTACACCTGGTTTAATCATCCCAGCAGCAATATCCAAAACTTCTCTAGCGAGCTGTAAAAGACGGAAGTGCAATATATTCAGAAGAAATAAAACAAAAATAGTAATGTGCACCCTTTGTTCTGTCTTTAGGCTTTGGAAAGACTGGCAAAATTAGTCTACCCTTAAATAGCACAATCTAAAATGTTCATTCCAAATCATCTGTATTTGTAATGTCTATCTAATTTGGCTTACCAGAAAACAGCTTAATAAACAAGCTTGTTAATTCACATGAAAATGTATATTTTATGTAAATTTTTTAATCACAGCAATAAGTGCTAAGAAAATGAAATCCTTAACATTATCAAAAGAAATTAGTATCAAATCACTTCTAAATTACTGTATGAAAACCCAAAGATCATTTATAAATTACTAACAATCATTAAAAAAGAAAATTTTTCATTAGGAAAAAAAAAACTTCAGCTGTCAATGACCAGCTACAACTACCTAGTTCAAAGTTAGTTGACAAAATGTTTAAACAAGGCTAATGCTAAATTAAACCTCAGTTTGTTTTCACAAAAGCATGTATTTTACATAAAGCATATTTGCTATGCACTTAGCTAATGCTGCTTCTGGACTTCTAGTGAATTTGGACCTTTTATCTGGTGGCCTGTACGGGGAGATGTCTTCTTTAACAGACCTCTCCTCACTGCAGTTCAGAAGCAATCACACTCAGAGACTTGAGCCGTTTAGCTTGACTCCCTTTGATTCCCCGTTTCTCCTCCTCTCCCTGCAACTCAAGGTACAGGAGGCAGCAGAAGCTCACTGGACATAGCCTTGGATCCTCCATAGGGTAGCCCTGTCCCCCTCCCTATGTCTCTTCTTCCTTCTCTCCTGGCAACCCAAAACCCTGATTCTGGCTTGTCCTCTGGAGCCACATATTTTCCAACAGACTTCTATTATCCAAAATCTAGCACTCAGCAGGGACTAGAGACTTGAGGCTTCCTTCTGCCAAAGCGTGAGAAGCTGAAGGGGACATATTTTTAACTTCTTCACCCTTTTCCAACTAGTTCAGTCAAATCATGGGTAACCAAAAGTCTGCTGGTTAATTTATCCCATTGGGATACCTTCCACCATAGCATACTTACCGATCTAGATAATATCTTTCAGCAGTCTCATACTCGGGTAGATTCGGGCCTTTTTTACACCCAGGACACAATCCACCCTATAAACTTACTGTTGCCCTTCATAAATCTTGTTATTCCATTCCTCTGTCCCCCCTATCTAATTCTGTATTCATGAACTCTTCACTGTCTAACCATGCTGCTTCGCCCTTGTGTGGAAATCGCCCATGCACTTCCTCTCTGTCCTGAAACCAAGTTTCCTTATTGGTCCCCTCCAGAGAGAGGAGGTCCAGAGACAGCTCCCGCTTCTTAACCATACCACATGTGGTCAGGTCAACTTCCTTGCCAACCTCCCCAGCTTCTTCTTAGAGTAGTTGCAGGAGTGAAGAAAATTGTCCACACACAAGTTCCTCTCTTTCTCTCTTCCTGACCTCTCGGTTACTCAACAGAAGCTGTAGCTTTTTCATCTAATCCCTCTACCTTCATTTTTTAAAAAACCCAGCTTTTCTCTCTCACCTTACAGAAGGACTTACAAGGCTTATAGCTCTTAACCTTATCAGCTCCAAAGACCAGTTAGTCCTTAATATGCATTTCATTTCATAATCTGCTCCTAATATGTCCCAAAAAACCTCCAAAAACTTAAAAATAGCCCTCACACTCCACAATGAGATCAACTGACCTAGCCTTTATGGTCTTCAACAATAGAGAAGTCATGTCTAAACAAAAGGCCCTTTGGGACCAAACTAAATACCAAATGCTTGCCCAAGCAATCAGGAATGACAACCCCAACAACCAGGTATAAACACTGGCTAAAGCACAACTCAAATCACTAGGAAAAGGGGCCAGGGCAATTCACTGCTGGTGCTTGATTAAACTGTAGACAGAAAGGAGGGACACTCACTCTCATGATACCCTTCCCCATGGCCCCCAACTAAGCCACAGCCAGACACACTGGAAGTCCAACTGCAAGCATACTACACATAGGAGGTTTTCAGTCCCCTCCTTATCAGTGGTTCCTCTTGGCCAGACTTCCAAGATTCACAGTGCCCAGGACTGGAGCTCCACTACCATCATGCCTGCAGAACCCCAAGTTGTCATTTGTGTAGAAGAAAAGAAGCCTTAACAAACAAGACCATGGGAAAGTTCTTGTTAGCTAGTTTTAAATATCAAACAATTTCACCTGAAACCCCTTCAGCATAAGCTCCTTCCCTAGGCTTCACTTCATTTCAGCAGGATGTAGTTTTCAGAAAATTGTCACATCTTTCTCCCTTTTTCTTTAAGGTAGAAATAAGATTGAGAACAAAGTGATTCCATTTTGCTGACCTTCTGTTATCATCTGAATTTCTGTGGTGTGTTCCAGGATATAGTAAATAATCTGTTTACCCCTAAACATGGTGTTAGAACCCCCTAAGAGATGGTAGTTTCTGATCAATGTTTACCCCTAAACTTGGTTTAATGACCCACCGCAGAAGATAGGTAATAGTTAAAACAGAAAGTGCTGAAATAATGGAAACCAGCCCCAGGACCTTCAGACAGCTGAGACAACCACTAACTAGCCCATGTACAAATACCCTACCTTTTCCTCTGTTCAGAGCTAATGCCAAATTAATCCTCAGTCTACTTTCACCTAACCATATATTTTAAAATAAAGTATATCTGCCATAAAAAAGTTTCACCAAAACCCAATAGAAGTCTTAAGCCATATCCTGTATTACAAAGATCTGTGAAAATGACAGTATCATAAAAATAAATTAGAAAAAAAAAATCAAAATCTATCCAGAAGAGGATCTATGTTGTTCCAAGAGTCATATATAAAAGCTTCAAAATTGGATAAGCAGATTTCAGTATTTTTTTAACTGTGATTTCAACTGGCTGTATCTAAGTAGTGGATATTATGACATAAGTCATGAAGCAGCTTGCTTACATGCCTCATGCTTTCACAAAAGTAGTTATTGGTAAGATGAGTATGGGGTGGGGGTGACCCACAATACAAATAAGTGAAATATAATGTAAATTAAAAAAAAAAAAAAGAAAATGACAAAGTATGATAAAAACTGGTTCTTTAAAAAAAGATACAAGGGGTTTTTTAAAAAGAATTTTAACTAAACATAATTACCTAAAAATATTCATTTTCAACAAAGCTATTTGAGTAGAAATTAACTGTTGCATAAAATCATACTAAAGATTTAATGAAAAGTAACTATGATTAGTCATACTTTTACAATATAACACTGGATACTTTCAAAAATCACAAAATCATTGACTTCCTATCTAATGACGGCTTAAGCATATGCTATGGGATAAAAATAACTCTTACCCTACATACAAGTCGCATTCCTTCTATATCTTCAGCAGAGAGTAATTTAATTTGAGAAGTACCTTTAAGGGCTTGTTCAGATTCAGACATTCCTGAAACAGAAAACCAGTTAAAAAAACCAAATGAACAGAAAAGACACAGTATTTATTAGCATAATGTTATGCCTGGTGATAGAATAATAATATTTTACTATGCCATCAAGTCGGAATCGACTCATCGCTGATCCTCCAACAGGTTTTCAGAGGCTCAAATCTCCCAAAAGGAGACTGTCTGTCTTTCTCCCATGGAGGTGCTGGAGGATTCAAACCACTTCACTTTCTATTGGCAGTGCAATTCCTTACCCACTGGCCACCAGAGCTCCTGTGATGCAACAATCAAGTCTATTTCAAATAATGGTACTTTAAAATGGAGAATGGGTCCAGGTTGGTTTCCCCCTGCCTTGTTGTTGTTGTTGTTATGTGCCGTCGAGTCATTTGCGACTCATAGCGACCCTGTGTACAACAGCCCTAAACCGTGCTCTATCCTGTGCCAATCTCATTGCCTCTGACACACCCATCCCAATTACCCCAGTCACTGAATCAATCCACATCATAGAGGGTCTTGCCCTCCTGCGCTGTCCCTCTACTCTACCCAGCATGATGTCCCCCCCGCCTTAGTAAGAGAGAAATTTGCTAAAAAGCAGGTTGAAGGAAGATTTCGAAAGAACAAAATCATCAGATCTACTGGATATCATGCACTATATATATGTTGTTTGTGTTGTTATATGTCGTCAGAAACAATTCATAGCAAACCCACGAGCAGGTCTGAACCAAGAGCCTGATCACCAGGCCACCATAGCTCTCTTCTACATTCCTGAGAATGTGTTCAAAAAGGATTTCCACTGAAAAGCCACAGAGCATTTAAAAGATGCTTCCATAATCATCTCATGGAGCAACAATATGCCAACAACTGATGAATTTATTATATCTTGTTTATTTTTAAATCTAGGTCAACAGTTTTCAAATTACAATTTGTGACTCATAAGTGGGACTACAGCTTTTTAAAATAAATGGCTAGAGTATCCTCCAAGGAAACCAGAACCAGTACTCAAACAGATATATGCACACCCATGCTTACTGCTACATTATTTACAAGAGCAAAGAGATGGAAGCAACCCAAATGCCCATGAACAAATGAATGTATAAAAAAAACTATGGTATACTATGAAGCACTGAAAAACAATGAACTTGTAAAACATTACACAACATGAGGGACCCAGGAGCACATCATGCTAAGGGAAATACCTCAGTCACAAAAGCATAAATACTGCATAGCACCATTGTTATAAAGCAGGTCTGGGGGGTTGGGAGAATAGGATAAGAATGGATAGATAATAAACATTGTATTGGAACAAATGAAGGAAAGAACTGTTTAAAAGTAATAAATTATTAGGCATTATACATATAACAACAGCCCAGAATAAAAAACACTGGGGGGTGAGGGAGTTACATAACTGTGTAACAATGAATGAATCTGTCTATGTATCTATATTTTTTGTAAAAAAAGGTGAATTGGGGGAGAGATAGAGAAGAAAGAGGGGTAAAATGTGCAAGAATAAATGAATCAAAACCTAAGTTCTCTGCAAAGTTTGTAAAATTACAATTAAAATTTTATTTTAAAAAGAGTATCAATAAGTTTGTTACTATGAAAAGCTTGTTTGTTACATTTATTTTTATATACATTTACAAAGATGATGATGTAAAATAAACTTCACTGCTGGTTATAGAAAAAAGAATTTAAAACACTGCTAAGAATATTTACTGATAAAATTAATTAACCTAATTCAAGATATACTTTATAAGTAGAAAAATTATTCCAAAGTCTGATAAAAATAATGTAATGAAGTATTACTAAACTCTTGTGTAAATACTAACAGTAAAATCTTAAGTAAGCATGAAACACTGACTTAAGTGAGATGCAGACTTCAAAGTTCAACAACAGCATGTCTATTAATGTAATTCATTACAGTCACAGAATAAACGAAACAAATTATCATTTCAAAAGAAAGGTAATTCTGATAGCATGGCCAGAAACCATGATAAAATATGAATCTAAAGTGTATATCATAGATGGCCACTAATTAATTAATAGAAATAGTCTCAGAAATGTATAGATAAATATAAGTAAAAGCATAATAAAGTAAAAGCATACACAGATGTTCAAAGATAAATACAAGTAAATTACTGCAGTAAAAATAAGAAAATAAAACAGACCTGGAAATAAATCAGTCATTAGTTGTTGTTGATATGTGCTGTCAAGTCACCTGCGACTCACTGTGACCCTATGTACAATAAGCTCTGAAGCCTGCCTGGTTCTGAGCCAGTCTGACTCTGATACATCTACCCCCATTGCCCCAGTTACTTTATCAATCCATCTCATGCAGGGTCTTCCTCTCCTGCACTGTACCTCCACCCTACTAAGCATGATGTCCTTCTCCAGGGCTCGGTACCTCTTGGCCACATGTCCACAGTATTGGAGACAAAACTTCAAAACCCTAGGCTCCAAGGGGAAACTTGGTTTCACCCTCTCCAAGACAGACCTATTTGTTTTCTTGGTGGTCCATGTTATGTTTAAGACTCTTCTCCAGCACCATAACTCAAAGGCATCAATTCTTCTTCTATCCTCTTTAGTCACTGTCCAGCTATCTGATGCATAGCAAGTAACTGTGAAGACTATGGACTGGATCAGGCACACCTTGGTCTCTAGACTGACATAGTTGCTTCTCAGTCTCTGATAGCAGATTTACCTAATTCATCTTTCCTGATTTCCTGATTGCAAGTGCCAAAAGTGTTGATTGTGGAGCTGGGGAAGCTGTAACTGTTAACAACCTCAATCTCTACTCCATCCTTCATGGTGCTACTAATTGGCCCAGTGGTGACAGTTTTATTCAATTTTGCTATATCCAGCGAATACAAGAAGTGACTAAAGAAAATACTAAGGGTTTATATGAAATTCTTTCTAAAATATGTTAAAAGTATAGCAAGGTGAAAAGGAGTATACAGCTTATTCCTCTTAGGTATAATGATGTGGGTTTGAGAAGCCAAACATGCACAGAACTTGTCTAGAAAGTTCTGCACAACACTGGTCATTGGGTACCTCTGGGGAACAGTACTTACTTTTCACTATAAATGATTTCAGTCTATTTGAATTTACTTTGTCGCTGGGTATATTCTCAAAATTCTATTTAATAACATATTTACGAGTATTAAGTAGAATAACAAAATTTCTGGTCTGTGCATTGCTCTACAGAGGTAACTCATGGTTGCTGTGATACTAAACCCTGTAACACTGATGTGACAAATGTGATAATGGTTACCCATGGTGGACAGTGCTTAGGGGAGCTTTCTGACTAAAACAAGCTTGGAAGCAGAAGTGGCAATCACTTCTGAAATGGCTTGCCTCCAGAAACTCTATGAATACTGCTCAGAACTCAACAACACTTAACAACAACAACAAAATTACACATCTTTAACATTATGCCATCACTTAGATTATATTTTCCTTCAATTTATCTGCAATAGTAAAGATTTAATTAAATATATAAAGTCTGCATAAGCAGTTTCTCACTTTCCAGAGAATACAGCAAAGCAGATTAGTAAATGGAATTATATGAAACTGAAGATATTGAATCATACAGCAGCTCTCTACCATTTTGGGGTATCCCTCCCCCTTGTAATATTTTTATTGGTTTGCATAAAAATCACATATATTTATAGAGTGTACACTGTTTTATACAATCCTGTATTTACAGTGTTTCATTCACGTACACTGTGTTTCATACATTCATATGCATTGCATTTTGTATCATTAAAATTGATCTATGCCTATTATTACCCTGTCTTTCAAGTCCCTGCTGAATTTTACCTATTCCTTCACTTCTTACCTGCCTACTAACTTCTGCTATCCTAGTGATTTCCCTCCTTTTTTCCACACCCTTCTTCCTTCTTCTTTTAAACATTTATACACATTTTGCCCAGTTATGCTATTTTTACAATAATTGTCTCATGCAATATTTGTCCTTATAAGACTGAGATACTTCACTCAGCATAATGCTCTCTAGACTCTCCCATGTTACAGAGTGTTTTACTAAACTGTTATTCTTTAGTGCTGCACAGTAGTCCACTGTATGAATGTATCACAATTTTCCAATCCGTTCTTTTGTTAATGGGCATTTGGGATGTTTTCATTTTCTTACAACAGTGAATAACACTGCTATGAACATAGGTTCACATCTCAGTTCTCGTTTCCTTGGGGTATATTACTAGCAAGGCAACAGGTGAATCATATGGTATTTCTATGCTCAAATTTCTGACGAAACGCCAAACTGCATTCCAGAGTTGTACTATATTACAATCTCATCATCAGTGTTTAAACAGTTCCAATCTCTCCACATCTTCTCTAACATTGCTTGCTGTCCTGTTAAAGTTTGCTAATGTTACTGAAGTGAGATGGTATCTCACTGTTGGATAGATTTACATCTCTCTGACTGCCAGTGATTTTGAACATTTCTTCATGTGTCTGTAGGCCAACTAAATGTCTTTCTTTATGAAGAGTCTTTTGCCCATTCTGTGACTGGGTTACCAGTCTTTTTACATGAAGACTCTATAGTATTTTGTAAACTTCAGTTATTATAAGACCAGTGCCTGAAATGTTGTAGCCAAATTATTTTTGTTTTGTTTTTTCTTTTCCAAATCAGTAGGCTTTATTTTCAACTTATTGGATAAAGGTTTTGATGCACACAGTGACTTAATTTTTAGGTCACATCTGTCAATTTTAGCTTCTCCTAATATGCAATATCAGTAATTTTAGATAGTTTGACAGAAGTTATGTGTCTAGATTCTAGGTCAGAAACTGCTTCACTAGACTATGTTATAAACTATCTTCTCTAGGTCACTCACCATTATTACCAATGAAATGAAGTGGACAACAGAAAATTATCTCAAGAGTGTTGAAACTATTAAATGAAATAATGCACATAAAGAACTTTGAACTTCATTAAGCATAGATAAATACCTTGGGTAGTGCTGCCCACCCATGGTAAGCAGTTTAAATCTATCAGCTATTCTGCAAGAGAGAGATGGACAATCTCCTCTTGTGTGACACAGAGCCTCTGAAAATCTGCCAGAGTGAGTTATTATTCTGTTCAAACTTGACAGCCTATAACAACAACATTATATTACAACATTATTACTCCTACAACCAAACATTATTACTACTTCTATTATGGTTAGAGACCAAGTCATTTGTTAGGTATTTACCAAGGGACTTCAAATTTGTTAGTATTTGAACAGATATTTAAATAAGGTAAAAGAATATTATTTTTAAAACATGGTATATGGAGAAAAAAGTCTTTAATTCTTTCAAACTTTACTGAGAGCTCTGGTGGTCCGGTGCTGAGAAGTTAGTTGCACTGCAATCCTGAACGCACACGGTTAAAATCCACTAACATCTCAACAGGAGAAGAAAAGGCAATCTTCTCCTGTTTGATTGATTAATTGCCGCTGAAAACCTGCTGGAAGGTCAGTTATGGATCAGGTCCAACTCGATGGCATACAACAACAATGTGGCTTGAAAAAGCAAACTGTTTGCATTTACAAGAAGTTCAAAACAAAAAAAAAATTCTACGAAAGGCATTCTTTTGCTCTGTAGTAGTCATCAAACTTACAAGTTGAAAAATGAATTAACATCACAGGACTTACCTAAAGGGTGATCAGCATAATCTGGTCTTTGAATGTAACTTGGCACTGGCCTTGTTGGCATCTAAAACATCAAAGAGGTAAGTTAAAGGAATTCAAACATGGAAGCAACTTTCATTAGTACAATCTAATAACAAACTGAAAGAAAAAAACACTAAGGAATAAAGTTCATTCAAAAATGTAAAATGGTTTCTTCAGTATCAAAACAGATACCTACCTTATTAAGTTTCACTTTAATAGTGCTAATACTACCACTTTTCTCAGGATGTGTAAAGGAACCAATAGTCCAAGTCTAGGAAGCATTTGAGAGTGCATATATACACTACCACTCTGTCAGGTAAAAAACATCTATCTTATCTCATAATTAAGAGAGATTTTTAATGCTTTCTTTAAAATTATATTCCACTTCTTCTATGACTGCAACAGTTCCTTGTGGTTAGATACCATTAAAGGGATCTTATGTAAAACATATCAAAACTTTGCCCAAAGGGAGCTCTGGTGACCTCGTGGCAAGAAGCTGCACTGCAATCCCAGAGGGACGCAGTTCAAATGTACCAGATGCTCTGCTGGAAAAGGAGGGGCAATCTCCTCCTGTACCAGTCAGATCCAATTTGATGGTACACACATGCAAAATAATAACATTTAAAACAACAACAACAACAAAAACCCAAAAAAACTTTGCCCAATACTGTGCAATTCTCAACGTCCACTATGCTCAAGATCACAGTCCTTATTAAATTACAAATAATCTAACATGAAAGCTGAAGAGTTAAACTGCAAGTTTATCTGCCAATTCAATCTTGGATTATATAGTTCATTAATAGAACATGATTTAGTTGTATTATTTTTAGGAAATTGGAAATTCTAAAAAGTTTTAAAAGAACATCAAATTTTCATTACCTTATTTACTCACCAGTGGATAATGTGGCCTAAGTTTACCAGTATACCGGTAGCCTGCCCAGGGGTCAGTGTTAATATCACCTTCTACAGTCCAAGCAGAAACTTCTCGCTTTGCCTTTTCATCTTCTGTAAGACAGAAAGAAAAAGAAAAATGTATACTTCTCTCTTCAGTACTCAAGTTATTAACATTCAATTCAACTCACTCTCTTTAAGTCAGAACCAACTCATACATGACCCTCCAGCATGGTTCAGAAGTACAAATCACATGGGAAGAGATTGCAAATTTTTCACACATGGGGCACCTAGTGCATTTGTGCCAAATCTGTGAACAACCACTTGGCCAACTGACTGGAAGAGATCTACAGAAACTACAGAACAATATCATTGATTTCACATGCAAGCAAGATTCTACTGACAATTATCCAAAAACAACTGGAATAGCACATCAGCAGAGAACTGCCAGAAGTCCAGGCTGGGTTTAGAAGGGGTCGTGGTACTAGGGATACTGTAGCTGATGTTAGATGGATCTTAGCTGAAAGCAGGAAATACAGAGGAATGTCTATCTGTGTTTCACTGATTATGCAAAGGCGTTTGACTGTGTTGTTGTTGTTGTTATGTGCCGTCGAGTCGCCTGCGACTCATAGCGACCCTATGTACAACAGCCCTAAACTTCGCTCTGTCTTGTGCCAATCGCACTGTCTCTGACACTCCCATCCCAATTATCCCAGTCACTGAATCAATCCACCTCATAGAGGGCCTTCCTCTCCTGTGCTGTCCCTCCACCCTCCCAAGGATGATGTCCCTCTCAAGGACAGGTCTCTCCTCACAACATGTCCAAAGTAAGTTAGACGGAGCCTCAGGATCCTTACCTCCAAGGAGGCAACCGGTTTAACCCTTTCCAGGACAAATCTGTTTGTTTTCCTAGCAGTCCATGGTATTCTCAATACTCTTCTCCAGCACCACAGCTCAAAGGCATCAATTCTCCTTTTATCCTCCTTGGTCATTGTCCAACTCCCTGATGCATAACAAGTGATTGGGAAGACCAAAGCCTGTATCAGACGCACCTTAGTCTCCAGAGAGACACCACTGCTCTTCAGTACTTTGGAGAGGTCCCTAACAGCAGACTTTCCCATGGCAATGCGCCTTTGACTGTGTGGATCATAACAAACTGTGGCTAACTCTAAAAAGAATGGGAATCCCAGAACACTTGATCATGCTAATGGGAAACCTATACTAGGACCAAGAGGCAGCCGTCAGAACAGAACAGGGAAACACTGCATGGTTCAAAATTGGGAAAGGTGTATGCCAGGGATGTGTCCTGTCTCCATACCTTTTCAACCTGTATGCAGAACAGATTATCTGAGAGGCTGGGCTCTATGAGGAGAAGTGTGGCATCAGAATTGGTGAAAGATCTGTTAACAATCTGTGTTATGCAGATGACACAACCCTGCTTGCTGAAACCGAGGAGGACCTGAAGCGCCTGCTGCAGATGGTGAAAGACTGCAGCCTTCAATATGGATTGAGGCTCAATATCAAGAAGAAAAAGATTCTTACCACTGGACCAACTGGCACCATCATGATAGATAGTGAAGACATTGAGATTATGAACCACTTTAGTTGGCTTGGCTCCACAATCAACACTCTTGGCACCAGCAGCCAGGAAATCAAAAAATGTATTGCGATGGGAAAGTCTACTGTTAGGGATCACTCCAGGGTACTGAAGAGCAATGGTGTCACTTTGGAGACTAAGGTGTGTCTGATACAGGCTATGGTCTTTGCAATCACTTGTTATGCATCAGAGA